CGTTGATTTACATGATAGACATTTTTACGTGTTTACATTTTAGAACCGGAAATAGAAAAAAACTAGTATAGAGATCCCGCCTTTGTCACTAGTATAGAGATACCACCTTTGTCACTAGTATAGAGATCCCGCCTTTGCCACTAGTATAGAGATCCTTCCTTTGTCACTAGTATATAGAGGTACCGTCTTTGCCACTAGTATAGAGATCCCGCTTTCGTCACTAGTATAGAGACCCCGCCTTTGCCACTTGTATAGAGATACCGTCTTTGCCACTAGTATACACTTAACAAATCTTATAAGTGTGCACCTTTTATGTCCTTTTAACTTTTTTGTTCATCAATATTTCTTCACAAAATTTTGTGTTCTGACTATTAGCTGCATTTCCACACTTTTCCCCCGCTCAAACTCGTCAAATTTAATTATGCGGCGCGTTCAACCGTGAACGTTTAAAATTTACACAATGCACGAAAAAATTGTATGAATGCGTAAAAGAAAATTGCACATGATATTCTCGAATACAAGAGAGATCCACATATCAGAAAAACATAACATATTGGTACATTATCTATTCAACAGCGTGACATAGCCCTAGGATTGGTCTACGCTGGAGTACACCAAGCAGAGCTTAGTAAAACATAATTTGTATAATAATTGAAACTCCATTGCATTGTAAAAGCTGAAAATCATTTAAATTCAGTTCCTACCAAAGACAAACATAATTGCATAGTTGTTTTTTACTTATTACATGTTTATATCATTTGGCGGTTGCGCAACGCATGGTGTTCACCGCTATGAAATATCAAGGCTTAAGAAGGCTTATCTTCATAACAGAGTAACTTGCAGGGTATATAACATTCCTCGCCGACCAAAAATTATCTCCAACGGTATGTTACACTGATGGGACGACGCTCTAAGACTGTAATGCACAGTCAGAATGGCACACACGCTTTAAGAACATCATTTTGCAACATCGGCTTTCGACACACACTATGATACCATTTATGCATGCACACTTATAAGATTTGTCAAGTGTAGAGATCCCGCCTATGTCACTAGTATAGAGATACCGTCTTTGCCACTAGTATAGAGATACCGTCTTTGCCACTAGTATAGAGATACCGTCATTGCCACTAGTATAGAGATACCGCCTTTGTCACAAGTATAGAGATACCGTCTTTGCCACTAGTATAGAGATACCGCCTTTGTCACTAGTATAGAGATCCCGCCTTTGCCACTAGTATAGAGATCCCGCCTTTGCCACTAGTATAGAGATCCCGCCTTTGCCGCTAGTATAGAGATCCCGCCTTTTGTCACTAGTATAGAGATACCGCCTTTGTCACTAGTATAGAGATCCCGCCTTTGCCGCTAGTATAGAGATACCGTCTTTGTCACTAGTATAGAGATACCGCCTTTGTCACTAGTATAGAGATCCCGCCTTTGCCGCTAGTATAGAGATACCGTCTTTGCCACTAGTATAGAGACCCCGCCTTTGCCACTAGTATAGAGATACCGCCTTTGTCACTAGTATAGAGATCCCGCCTTTGCCACTTGTATAGAGATACCGTCTTTGCCACTAGTATAGAGACCCCGCCTTTGCCACTAGTATAGAGATACCGCCTTTGTCACTAGTATAGAGATCCCGCCTTTGTCACTAGTATAGAGATACCGCCTTTGCCGCTAGTATAGATACCGTCTTTGCCACTAGTATAGAGACCCCGCCTTTGCCACTAGTATAGAGATACCGCCTTTGTCACTAGTATAGAGATCCCGCCGTTGCCACTTGTATAGAGATACCGTCTTTGCCACTAGTATAGAGACCCCGCCTTTGCCACTAGTATAGAGATACCGCCTTTGTCACTAGTATAGAGATCCCGCCTTTGCCGCTAGTATAGAGATACTGTCTTTGTCACTAGTATAGAGATACCGCCTTTGTCACTAGTATAGAGATCCCGCCTTTGCCGCTAGTATAGAGATACCGTCTTTGCCACTAGTATAGAGACCCCGCCTTTGCCACTAGTATAGAGATACCGCCTTTGCCACTAGTATAGAGATACCGCCTTTGTCACTAGTATAGAGATCCCGCCTTTGTCACTAGTATAGAGATCCCGCCTTTGCCACAAGTATAGAGATACCGCCTTTGCCGCTAGTATAGAGATCCCGCCTTTGTCACTAGTATAGAGATACCGCCTTTGTCACTAGTATAGAGATCCCGCCTTTGCCGCTAGTAAAGAGATACCGTCTTTGCCACTAGTATCGAGACCCCGCCTTTCACACTAGTATAGAGACCCCGCCTTTGCCACAAGTATAGAGATACCGTCTTTGCCACTAGTATAGAGATACCGCCTTTGTCACTAGTATAGAGATCCCGCCTTTGCCACTAGTATAGAGATCCCGCCTTTGCCACTAGTATAGAGATCCCGCCTTTGTCACTAGTATAGAGATACCGCCTTTGTCACTAGTATAGAGATCCCGCCTTTGCCGCTAGTATAGAGATACCGTCTTTGCCACTAGTATAGAGACCCCGCCTTTGCCACTAGTATAGGGACCCCGCCTTTGCCACTAGTATAGAGATACCGCCTTTGTCACTAGTATAGAGATACCGCCTTTGTCACTAATATTGAGACCCCGCCTTTGCCACTTGTATAGAGACCCCGCCTTTGCCACTAGTATAGGAGACCCCGCCTTTGTCACTAGTATAGAAATACCGTCTTTGCCCCTAGTATAGAGATCCCGCCTTTGTCACTAGTATAGAGATACCGTCTTTGCCACTAGTATAAAGATACCGCCTTTGACACTAGTATAGAGACCCCGCCTTTGCACTAGTATAGAGATACCGCCTTTGCCGATAGTATAGAGATACCGTCTTTGCCACTAGTAAAGAGACCCCGCCTTTGCCACTAGTATAGAGACCCCGCCTTTGCCACTTGTATAGAGACCCCGCCTTTGCCACAAGTATAGAGACCCCGCCTTTGTCACTAGTATAGAAATACCGTCTTTGCCCCTAGTATAGAGATCCCGCCTTTGTTACTAGTATAGAGATACCGCCTTTGCCACTAGTATTGAGACCCCACCTTTGCCACTAGTATAGAGATACCGCCTTTGCCACTAGTATAGAGATCCCGCCTTTGTCACTGGTATAGAGATACCGTCTTTGCCGCTAGTATAGAGATACCGTCTTTGCCACTACTATAGAGACCCCGCCTTTGCCACTAGTATAGAGATACCGCCTTTGCAACTAGTATAGAGATCCCGCCTTTGTCACAGGTATAGAAATACCGTCTTTGCCACTAGTATAGAGATACCGCCTTTGCCACTAGTATAGAGATACCGCCTTTGCCTCTAGTATAGAGATCCCGCCTTTGTCACTGGTATAGAGATACCGTCTTTGCCACTAGTATAGAGACCCCGCCTTTGCCACTAGTATAGAGCTACCGCCTTTGCCACTAGTATAGAGATCCCGCCTTTGCCATTGGTATAGAGATACCGTCTTTGCCACTAGTAAAGAGATCCCGCATTTGCCACTAGTATAGAGACCCCGCCTTTGCCACTAGTATAGATATCCCGCCTTTGTCGCTGGTATAGAGATACCGTCTTTGCCACTAGAATAGAGATCCCGCCTTTGCCACTAGTATAGAGACCCCGCCTTTGCGACAAGTATAGAGATCCCGCCTTTGCCACTAGTATAGAGATACCGCCTTTGCCACTAGTATAGAGACCCCGCCTTTGCCATTAGTATAGAGATACCGCCTTTGCCACTAGTATAGAGATCCCGCCTTTGTCATTGGTAAAGAAATACCGTCTTTGCCCCTAGTATAAAGATACCGCCTTTGCCACTAGTATAGAGATACCGCCTTTGCCACTATTATAGAGATCCCGCCTTTGTCACTGGTATAGAGATACCGTCTTTGCCACTAGTATAGAGACCTCGCCTTTGCCACTAGTATAGAAATACCACTTTTGCCACTAGTATAGAGATCCCGCCTTTGCCACTGGTATAGAAATATCGTCTTTGCCACTAGTATAGAGATACCGCCTTTGTCACTAGTATAGAGATCCCGCCTTTGCCATTGGTATAGAGATACTGTCTTTGTCACTAGTAAAGAGATTCCGCCTTTGTCACTAGTATAGAGACCCCGCCTTTGCACTAGTATAGATACCCCGCCTTTGTCGCTGGTATAAAGATACCGTCTTTGCCACTAGTATAGAGATCCCGCCTTTGCCACTAGTATAGAGACCCCGCCTTTGCCACAAGTATAGAGATCCCGCCTTTGCCACTAGTATAGAGATACCGCTTTTGCCACTAGTAAAGAGATCCCGCCTTTGTCACTACTGTTGAGATTCCGCCTTTGCCAATAGTATAGAGATCCCGCCTTTGCCACTAGCATAGAGATACCGTCTTTGCCACTTGTATAGAGATACCGCCTTTGTCACTTATATGGAGACCCCGCCTTTGCCAATTGTAAGAGATACCGCCTTTGCCACTTGTATAGAGATCCTGCCTTTGCCACTAGTATAGAGATACCGCCTTTGCCACTTAGTATAGAGATACCGCCTTTGTCACTAGTATAGAGACCCCGCCTTTGTCACTAGTATAGAGATACCGCCTTTATCACTAGTATAGAGATCCCGCCTTTGCCACTAGTAAAGAGATCCTGCCTTTGCCACTAGTATAGATATACCGCCTTTGTCACTAGTATAGAGATCCCTCCTTTGTCACTAGTATATAGAGGTACCGTCTTTGCCACTAGTATAGAGATCCCGCTTTCGTCACTAGTATAGAGACCCCGCCTTTATCACTAGTATAGAGATCCCGCCTTGCTATTAGTGTTTGCCACCCCACTAGTATAGAGATCCCGCCTTGTCACTAGTATTTGCCACTAGTATAGAGATTCCGCCATGCCACTAGATACGGTCATAATTTTAATTTACTTAAAAACACTATGATTGTGAACTACATGTATTACATTTTTTATTTAAGAAATTAAAGTTATTTGTTCAATGTATGCCGTTGATTGTATATTTGGTACTAGTAATTGTTATATTTTCAGAGTCTATTCATTCTTGCTATAGCCCTTTGTTAATACCGTTTACCATCAAAAACACGGGAGCTACTGGTGATTTTCAACTACAAGCAGAGACAGACAACTCTGTAAGTAATGTGATATCTAATGTTTGTTTTTATTCATTGCTTGGAACTTACAAAACAGCAATAAATCTGCCCTCGTTTTAAAGTCATATGATTCCTTCAAAAATCATCACAATACGAGTGTTTCATAATTAAATATCAGAATGCTGGCGCCAAATTTGGTGGTTTGTTACAGTTAAAGAGGCAGACAATCTTGTACAAGTTGAATGCACATCAATGGAATCTGGTCAGGCTGCTTATCGCCTAGTTTGACAATAATATTCCAAATCAGAAAGTCGTTTTAGTAAATGCTGGAATCGTTATTATTATGCCCCTTTCAAAGAAGTGGAGGTATATTGCTTTTCATTTTTCTGTCTGTCTGTAGACCGAATGGTTTCCGATCAATAACTGAATAATGCTTAGGCATATGACAAGAAGATTGCCCGTCTTTAGATTTGACCTTGAAAGTCAAAATGGTTCAACAACACATGGGACTTTGACATTGAAACTTCACACGTGCATTGGTCTTGACAACCCATAGGCCACTGGCCCTGAAAATGCATAGGTGCATTGTCTTGGCCAGTAGATGGCTACTATTTATTTTGGGGTCAAGGTTTAAAGGTCAAGGTCACATTGACCTTGAAGGTAAAAATGTTTTCCGATGAATAGCTTGACAACCCATGGGCCTTTAAACTTCACAAATGCATTGCTTTTGGTCAGAAGGTGACTCCTATTGATTTAAGGGTCAAAGGTCAAAGTCATATTGACCTTGTACGCAAAAACGGTTTCCGACCAATAACTCAACAACTCAAGTTGCCTTGGTTGATATTTTTATTTAACTAAAAATGCTTTTGGTATACACATTTCAAGGTCTTATGTAATATAACAAATTGGCTGTCATTAAGGAGGCCTACATGATTCATAAAATTTGTGAATTTTTTTATTTGTGACAACTTTGTCATAAAATTCCTACACAGAATCTTTACGGTCACAATAACCTAGTGACAAGTCAAGATCAGTAGATAACCCCTTGATTTTTTGGTCACTAGGCAATAACCTACCGATATTGGGCATACATGTTTTACAAGGATATCTTGTTTACTGTCTTCATGTATTCACGCATACAATTAGGAAATGTTTCTCGTTTAAGCATGAACTATATCAGACTATACATGTATATACATGTATTATCTAACGATTAAACATGGCCCTTACATTTTACCCCCAAGTAGATTTCTAACGGCAATTTATTTATGCGTGATTAGCCGAAATTCATTACGTTAAATAATTAGGTCATGACGTCATTTTGGCGCTAGTGTACTTCAAATAGAAATCTTCTACATTAACTCCATTGCTTTGCTTTATAACATTACGTTGTTAGTAATATTCCACCAGTGGTTTTAAATATATGCTAGATATAAAATGGTATGGGTAACCGATTGAGAATTATTCGTGCTTTTTATGATGGACTTCCGTTTGTTGTTTACATATTTTGATATCTAATGAAAAATATGGTAACACATGTATTACTTTTTCTTGAATAGAACTTTTTGGCCAAAATTTCTCCATCAACAATCAAGATCAACAGTCACGCGACTGTAAGCGGGCACTGTGACGTCACTCTGACAGCAACTCCCGGTTCAGCTCTTGCAACGTAAATATTTTTTTGAGATTTTCAATGTTTTCTTTCATTTGCTATAAAATTTCAATATTTTAAATCTATTGCTAAACATCAGAGACCACTTGCGCCTCACCGCTGTGGGTTCGGATCCCGATAGAGACTTCGGTTTCTTTCATGTGAGGAAGCTATCCAGATAGCTTACGAAACGTCGGTGGTTCTACGTAGGTGTCCGTTCGTGCATGTAATAATGCACGGAAGGGTATTAGAGGTCTTCCTCCATCAGTAAAGCTGGAACGTCGCCATATGACCTATACTATGCCTGTGTGACGTAAAACCCAATGAAACATCAAACACATTTGAAAATCTTTGGAATGCTGATGTTTCAATATTTTGTATTATAAAGTGAAATTGAATTGTGCCTAATTCTTATTATGAAAAGGGTGAATAATATTAACCATTGATATCAGATGGTAATGTAAAATAACAAATATCTAATCTGGTACATGAATATTCAATGATCTGTTTTATCTAAGAAAATGTTTTTTCTTCCAGGCAAGTTATAATTTCTGTGCTAGATTCGACGTCGAAATTTCAGTATGTGGCGAAAACGATATTTGCCAGTGGTGTGGTATGTTCTCATCCAGTAACAAACAGTATTGTAAGTTTAATGTATATTTACATTACAGAATAAAGAATTAAATAGAGAATATTTAAGGGTTTTCTATAGATATGGGATTTATTTTTATCGAGTGGTATAAAATATAATAATTTTCATACCACACATGTAAAGAAATCCCGCATTTATAGAAAAAAATGTTGTTTTCTATATTCTTGTTTTCTTCTCTATTTTGACCATACGATTAGAAAAACTTCCTTTTTCATTTTGTGTATTGGCAGAATTTAGGAGAGAGTAGTCCGGCAAGACACAAGTGAAAATACGTCGAAAATAGGGAACATGAAAATAATTATATGCATTTTATTTCATCCATATTTTATAAATAAGTATATAATAAAATCAGTATTGGTTAAATTTTCCCTATAGAATCGTCAATGTTGTCCGACTTAAAATTAATTATATATTGGATACATATTTTGGTAAACTGATACTGGCAAGCAAATTCAATTTAGGACCTATATTCAGGTACTATTTGACAATATTCAAGAATGTTACTGGATTACTTAATTAAACAAATTGTTGTCATTTCTTATTTATAAAATCAAGTGATTGATTGTATATACAAATACATTGAATTGCCTACAATCTGATTAAAATCAGCTCTAGAAAACGCTCCGCTTTTAGATCTGACCGTGACGAAATACGAAATCATTTCTGGTGAACTTTCACACAGCCAATCATTGGCAAGCTTTTTATAATTTTGAAAGCGATGTGGGTTGTAATTTTAGCACTTGGAGAAGGTACAGATCTGTATAAAGAAATTAGTAGATCTGAACTTGTCAGATTGAATTGCCTATTATTAATAATGATTTACATTAGACTAATTGGAAAATAAGACCAAAATAATACCCCTGTTCTTCTACAAAGGTATCTCTGTTAAGAAGATAGGTTCCCAAAGTCAGAGAGAATACTGTTCCAATTGTGAAAGAAAAAAATCCCCGCTTGGTTTAGAAAAATATCAAAAAAGACAATTGCATGTAAAAAATGTGATTTCTTCAAAGATAGCAATTTATCAACAATGCATTTACATTTCATGTATGACCTTTATTTGATCTGTTAATGCCTATAATAGAATAATAAGGGGAGCGGAGGTCTATTTAAGGTGTCTGTCTCTTAACCCAGGAATCATGGGTTCGAGTCCAACTCAGGTCACGACCATGTTTCTTCATATGACAGCAGTGCTAGTTTGTTCAAGGTAGCGGAATCAAAAGTGAGTAATATACGATGCAAGAAATTGTTTCACAATCGAGCTGAAATAAATGTGTTTAAACTAATAGAATAAATTTGTAACACTTTTTTGGAATTCAATCTCAATTAATGGTCTACAGACGTAAAATTATGATACATTTATATATATGCATATATTCGTCAGGGAATGGGTCAAAGATATAGTGTAGCTAATAATATGAGTGTTTCGTTTACACGATAGCATGAAACTATTTATAGGTAATTACATCCGTTACTAACAGTACTCAGTTGAACTTGACAGTAAGTAAAGCAATCTTAAGGAGACAAAACTTTTGAAGAAGCCTTCGTTTAGGATGTATTGTTTTCGCGCGCATGCTCAGTCTACATAGAGCAAAAAGAATGAATATTACACTTCACAGAAGTTTACCTTTACATACATAGAAAATTTAACGGTAGTTCTCCGTATTTTTTTACGACATACGAAAAATTGAAGCTGAAGGCGTTCATTGTATTTTTATTACATACATAATATGTATATCTTTTAAAGCTCAAATGAAGGCTTCTTCAAAAAGTTATGTCTCTTTAAAGTATATTACCCGCATAATATGTTCCGGTGCTCACATATAAGTTCATATTTTATTCAAATCAAATGTCCCGATAAAAATTCCCTTTCCTTCTTGTATCTTACCCAATTTTGACTTGCTTATACATGTATCATATTGTTTCGGTTGCAAATGTAATTTGTAACATGTCGTCTGCTTCTGTTTATATGTTTTTGGAAAGTTAAATCGATTAAATTTCCTCAGATATTGAAAGAATTGAATCGAGTGAAAATAATTAACATGTAAGTCTGATCTTATTATTTCCTTGAAGACAGGAAACTAATACTCGATAATGAGATATTCATTTCACTCTTCTGTGCAAATAAAATAGTACAAACAATGTTTTTCCTATCCAAAATGTCATATGAGATTAAAATAAATCTTAAATTTTGAGTTCATTGTTGTATAAAATTGATAAAGAATTGTTTGTGATTAAAATTTGCTTGTTTTCTGAACGCTACACCGTATGATTTCACAGATGCAAATTTAAGCAAATTTATTACAAATGTATACAACGAATTATTCGAAATTAAAATTAATCTTCAATATATGCTCCACAAGCTAGCAATATGATAAATTAAGCACATTTATTTCTTTATCCTGCCGTGCTATATAACAAAATGATTAAATGCGCATAGAATTACTTTTTTTTAAAATGTATGAATACATTAGAAATTGACCATTTTACCAGATACATCTGAATGTTGGAATCCGTAACGACATGCTTGCTTGTATTTCTACCAGTTTCTTTCTTTTTCGACATAATAAATTATTAAAATTTGTAACACGATAGTTTTATAAATATGTCGTTTTTAAACTATCTTCTTTACAGATTACCACGACATCTGGTACGACGACATTGAGGACGGATGTAAATAACGCTCTATTTTTAGTAACAGTAATGGCTGCCTTCGTGAGCTGTTTCACAAACAAAAATTCAGTGTAGTCAGCATGAATTAATAAAAAAAGATATGTGCGGGACTAATGAGTATTTTGTTAACAAAACCAGGGTACTTATTCATAATACTATACATGTACTTTCATATTTAATTTTGCTTGTTCGCAATGCATCACGACGATGTACTGATTCCTTCTATTTATTTATTTTATTGTATAGTATATTTGTATAACGTACATTTTTACACGTTTGTATGATGTATAATGTTTATGTTCACCAATGCTTCAAAAGCATAACATGACCAAGTCAGAAAGCTTTGCTTGACTGGTGTTTACGATATTTGCACATAAACAGTGATTTCGTTAGCAATGTATTTGTTTTAAGAAAAAATTGTCATTGGTATGTCCAAAAATCTTCCATTCTTTTTCTAAAGTATTTCCGGTGTAATCAAACTTGTTCCTGATATCTGGTTAAGAGATTCGTTATGAATAAATAAATAAATAAATAAATAAATAAATAAATAAATAAATAAATAAATAAATAAATGAAAGCATTCGCATAAAATGTTTAATTTGTATTTTTGTTTGTTTATTAATTTGTTGTTGTTTTTTCACAATACAAACATGTTTAACAATAATACATAGTATATAATTTCATCCGTGAATATAGTACACAATCATCATGCCTATCCTAGAAGATCAACATATATTTATTCATTAATTCTAGAAATATGACAAAAATAACATAATGGATACTTTTTTCGGTCGTAGGCTGTTTGTTTCCAGACTGACTTCCGGTAAACCGGTAAAACTACGGACTATTCGCCATTCCTTCCCGTTATTTGCCGGACAGGTACACAAACTGGCTAACCGCCATCATTGTCCCCCCCCCCCCCCAAAAAAAAAAAAGTGTGTGCTATGCCAGTACTGAATATCGAAAATTATGATGAATATTGAAATCAAATGGTTGGTTTGAACAAATAGAATAAGCTAGATACTGGTTACAACTAATGGTGCTATAATGAAACTATTACAAATAAAATGTACATCAGTTTGCAAACGGGTCTTCTTACAGACAGTTTGATAGGATAAACAACAAATTGTCCGAGACGAAGCCGACAATTTATTCTTGTTTGACCTTGCGAGCTGTCTTCTTCACGCCCGTAAGTAAACACTTTTGAAGAAAATACAAATAATTGTGTCTGACGTATACAACGATTAATTGTAAAGAACAGATACATAAAATAATCAGAGTTTCAGCATCCTCCGACAAGCTACTGCTACTTTCGTCGAAAATATCAGTATCAAAACCAACCGTCACTTTGTTCCCGGAAGTAGCTTTATTCTGTCTCCGATTCATTCAATTCACTTTTCACAACCTGAATTTACACGTGGATTGCACAATCAAATCCGAACTTTTCCTTTGGTGTCCTGCTTGAGGCAGTGAAAATATTAAAAGAAAAATAGTGAGAAATAACGTTCGAAGAACTTTGGATATGGTCACTGGTACTGTAAAGTAGCTACAGTTGTCCGAAAGAAGCATGGCATAAACATTTTGATTCTTATAAAGATTAAAGCAAATCTTCCGACAAATTAAACGTTTAATGGCGCCAAACGTTAAACCTTGCTACGAGATCCACACATTTGTTATAAGCACAATGACGTAGTAACGCTGACGTCAAATCACGTTATCATACTCAACACAATCAGTAACAAAGTTCCTTATTTCTGACATTTCTGTTGACCTCTGAGCGCTTTCAATCCCCCGTCTGATCTGTTGCATCTTTTCTTGAAAATACTGAATTCTTGAATATATCATATACAATATTGTAATTGATTTTCGAAAAAAAAATCGAATATGAATAACACAATCATAAAATATTACTGTTCATTAGTCAAAAACATTTAATATGTAGATGTGTTTCATTTCCTCTCAGTTCGTCTGCACACCTACTCCTTTCAAAATTCAAACAAGACTTACGTCATATTTTGAATGACTTGATCTTATTATAACTCCTCCTGTAGCCCAAGATAGTAACCATGATAAAATACAGAAATAGAAGGCAGACTGGTAATACAGAAATTCTAACTTCATTGTGTCAGCAAAAACTGAGAATGCAGCCATGAAGAAAACGCCTGAAATATAAACAAGAAAATTCCATGATTAAAATTGTTAAACGTTGTAATCGACTGCACCATGCAGTCACTTGATGCCTGGACCCGAACCTCCGGGATAGTAGTGGAATGAGCGGAGATTTTACCTTCCGTCTGTCCCTTATCATCATGTTAATTCGATGGTATTGTTCGCCAAAATAGTGGCGGATATGTCAAACTTGCAGTGCCGGGGCATGTAACAGAGATCTTTACATATGATAAGAAAATCCAAAAGTCAAAGTATCCATTATTTTCCGGGGATGGGGGCCGGGTAAAGGTTGCAAAGGGCTGGTGCGTGTAATACGAGTAACATTATTTGATTACATTGTACTAGTAAATATATTACAATCGTTTTAAAACATACAAACATATATATGAAACGAAGATTTCTGTTTATGTTAGAAATAAGTCAATAACATAGAAATAAAGAATGTTATAAATATATTTTTTAAATAAATATTATTTTTCTATGCAATTTTATTTTCTAAAAGTAGCTATTATTTACTATTTAATAGTTAAAAAGAAACTGTTTAAGGTAGCTCGCTACTTTCCGACCAAAATTTGACTATATCTCAGATCATGATGATTTTTGGTATACATACATGTATATGTAGATATGTAAGCTTTACTTCTGCAGCATTATTTTATAAATAAACAGCGTTACTATGACGTCAAAGCGCCCTCTATCGGTGGTGGCGAAATTGCGTCTTTTTTATCAATAAACCGGTCTGTGTTTTTCAATTTTCATCCGATTTCCTTCATTTTAATTTTATAATGTTCAGTAAATGTATGCCTTTGTAATGATGTTTTTCTTTAACATTTACTTAATAGTCTGCGATTTTACGTCATTTTTCTCTACGTTCTGACGTCCATATTTGATGCAAACATCGCGCGATATCGCAATAAAGATTGTGAAATAATAAAAAATCAACACGGTGAATTTTGCTATAATTTTTTTAACATGTGGTGAAGTCATAAAAGAAAATATTTATGCAATAAAAATATAGGGTCAACGCGTAAGATATTTTGCTATTACTGTTTTAAAATAAAATAAAGGGTGAGTAAAACGTAATGATTTTGGTGACGTCAAATATTTTTCTCAAGGAAACTTTCACGACTTTTTCGATTAATATCATACTGACAGGGATAAAAGTTTGTGAAAACCATCAACAACAATAGTATTAAGACATGTGCCGTAAAAATGTTTTGTTTTAAAAGTCCTGACAGATGCCTGATTTCGATGAATATCTTCAATTCTAAAAACAGGTATTTAATTTGATACATTTTTTGGCATCTTTTTATGCGATAATAAGGATAACAGAAAAGAGGTATTTAATTATGGAGTACGTTTGGTGCCTTTAAAATAAAGTTCTATAGAGATTAAATGAAAGTAGAATGAAGTCAGGTTTGTTCCGAAGCGCAACTCAATTTACCACTGTTCAATTAATCAACTGTCCATTTAATATAAATTACTTTAATAAAAGGCTGCCTTTCTGGGCAATTTTTCTTCATCTAATGTCTTTTTTTAAATTGAATCTTAAATTATAATGAGAAAATTGATGAATTTCCTTTTAGTTCAATAAAACATCTGTCTCAATAAATTTTTTTCGATACATATACAAGTATTTCGGTTGCAGACGACAAGTTTCGTGATCTTTTATTCTCGTTAGGGAATTCTTCTTATAAATGTTTGGTAGTCAATACATCAACTAATGGATGTCTTACGTATGACAAGTATGATGTATGTGGGCGGTAAGAGAATTCGTAATTTGTCTTTTGTTAGAACATGTAGAAATGATAGTTATAATGAGAGGGGAATATTTATTTATATACTAGCAGAGCTAGAATAAAAAGTGTCCAAAAGAATAAAAAGTGACCAATTAAGATTAAAAAAAGTTTCCCGTCGTATATGAGGATACTGGTCACGTTTACAATTTTCTGTAAACGTTTACACGATTGCTAAGAACCGAAACGATACCGTTTAAACGGTGGTATGGAAAGCCATGACTGTCTGATATTGTTCTTTTTCAATTTATGTAACCATTTGGATAATATATGAGTTCACTTCGACTATATATGAATTGAAAACACCTTCTTATTTAACCGGAATCCATTATATTAATCCACAGTTACAATATATGAAACCATACCGTCAGTGTATGAAACCGAGTTAGCAATATATAAGTTGATTTTCTCAATTTATGATTCCAATTCTTCAATATATGGTACCAAAATAGCCATGTATGGAACCAGATGTCCTTATATGAAACCGAATTATCAATATATTAATTCATTTTTCAATATATGAAACCAATGTATCAATTTATGAAACCAAAGTAGAAATATATAAGTTGGTTATTACATTATATGATACCAATTCTTCAATATATGGTACCAAAGTAGCCATATATGGAACCAGATGTCTTGATATTAAACCGAATTATCAATATATTAATTCATTTTTACAATATATGAAACCAATTTATCAATGTATGGAACCAAAGTAGCAATATATGAGTTGGTTATTACATTATATGATACCAATTCTTCAATATATGGTACCAAAGAAGCCATATATGGAACCAGATGCCCTTATATGAAACCGAATTATCAATACATGTATATTAAGTAATTTTTACAATATATGAAACCATTTTATTAATGTATGGAACCAAAGTAACAGCTAGTATATAAGTTGATATTACATTCTATCATAGCAATTTTCATTATATGGAACCAAAATAGCCTATTTTCAAGTCAACAATTTAAAGGCCGAGGTCACTGGGTTCTGTTATTACAATGCATACACTTTTTCATGAAATCAATTATTATTTGACTGATTATTTTTTAAACTTTGTAAGTAGATTAACCTTGATGTGTCCTTCTGGCCATGCCT